TTACTGTTTTTCACTAGTTTTTTTATTATTCGTTTTTTTTATATTATTACTAAAGAAAAATCAAATTGTGTACCAATTAAATGTAGCTAATACAACCAAAAAATATTAACTAACATATGATACCAGTATAGTATGTAGCTATACCAACAGGGTATACAATTGTACGCAAAGAGTTAAAAAAAATTAATTCAATTATTAAACTGAAATTATATCAGTTGTCAATAAAAATTTCAAAAATTCTAAAAGAATCTAATTGTAAGAGTATACCGCTACATTATATAGCATACTATAATATACATACATACATACATATATATATATATATATATATATATATATATATATATATATATATATATATATATTTGCATTTTCAATTTTGCCCCTCACGCCGGGTAAAAGCTTAAAGCAAATTAAAAGGGAAAAAGCAAGTGAATTTACGGGTAATAAGTATACTATTATAGTTATATACTATTACAGCATACTGTTACAGTATATTGCATATTATTACAATATACTATAACAATATATTGTATACTATAATAGTATACCATTGTAGTATAAATATATACTCCAATAGTATATTGTATACTGTAGCGGTATACTGTTAGGTAACCGTGTTCTTCTTCGATTATTACAATATACGATTGCAGTATATTGTAAACTATAATAGTATACTGTTGCAGTACAGCTATATACTCCTACAGCATATTATATGCCGTAGCAGTATACTATCGGGTAGCTATGTTCTTCTTCTATTTTTAGCTGAAAATTTCGATCTCAATCACCTCAAATCAGCTCCAAATGCAATCAAATTCAGTATGAACTTCTAGAACGTATTGTTTTCAAAATATTTAACAGCACCCACTTTGAATCAAACAAGAAATCTTCAAAATAAAAATTTTAAGCCAAGGCAAGAGCAAGAGTTAGGGAAAGAACAATCAAAAAAAAGTGAAGCAGAATTGAAACTAACCATTTTTGTTAGAGGAGCAGAATTGATCCACATAATCTTCATTAGTTTGAGCGTTGGTAATAAGAAGGTCAAAATCTTTACCCCTACCAAAACGCTTGGATTCAAATATTTAATTTAAAAAATCCAACAGAAATAAATTGATCAAAAATTGGAATTGAATCATAATCTTTAGCACTTTTGTACTTGAAATATACAGCCATGATTGAATTCTTTTTCCTAGAAAAAAGAAATCAAGAACAATAATAACAAAGAGGCCCTGTAGTCAAGAATACGATAGGCCTAGTTCAAAATATTGAAATACAAACAGAATCGATACAGAGTTGTACCAAAATAACACCAAGCAGATTCACAGAATTGTATCAGCTAATTCTCTTGACGAACTCACGATTCTTCAACAGGCTTCAGTCGGCACCAGGGTTTCAACCTGGACCCAGCACGAACAATAACCAATTCAAATTTATAGACAGAAAACGCCGAGAGTTTAGATGGATGGAATTGAATCAAAGCGCACTGATTCTTCAAAAGTACGCACAGCAGGGAACACGAGTGAAACCACATATGGATCAATATGTGCCCTCGTCCAAATTCTCAGTGTTAAAAGAAGAGCTATTTTAATAGAAAAAATGAATAACCGGGTAAATAGTTTGAGCCGCATGGGTAGGAATAATAAATAGTTTGGGCCTGAATATTTAAGGGTAAATAATTTGGAATTAATGGGTATAAAGTAAGATTTTCTCAATTAAATTTACTCCCTCCGTTTTAATTTATGACTGGGAACGGAGTTTAAGAAAAAATGAATATTTTTGAAATTTATGATCCTAAACAAGTCAAAAAGAACCCCATAGTATTTGTGTAGTCATAAAAGCTCCTCATTAAGGGTAAAATTGTAAGTTTAAGCTAAATTATTTCCAAATTTAAAAAAGGATCATTCTTTTTTAAATGGACCAAAAAGAAAATACGTTCACATGAACTGGAACCGAAGGAATAATAATGATATCAAAACTTTTGAGTACTAAATGATCCTTGGCCAATGCTCAGCACAATATGAATAGCAGTAATATTTACTTGAATAGTTATGATATCACGAACACATCCATGATATAACTTCAAAACTACATATTATACAGACACAAGAAATAATTTCAGAGTCTGTGATTTAAGCGTAGTAAACTGCTCCCTGCTTCAGATTACATCCATAAAAGTAAAAAAAAAAAAAGATCAATTAAAGTCCTACAAAGGGTGCAGGGAGCGCTAAATGATTCAACCTCAATCTTCTTGTAGTCACAAATGTACTCTACAACTGTATGAGAGTTCCTTTTACCAACACTGTCTATGTAATCTCATTCTCATAGATCAAAGGAAACACTCGAGAGAGGGAAGGGCTGGCGTGTGTTCTGCACCATAAATATGCTTCTGTTACCGATGGTGAAAATCTCAAACATGGAGGTATATATCAAATTTTACCATATTTCTGACTTTATATACGAGGTGTGTGTAAACTCTAGTAGTATTACATTTAATTGTCATGACAAATCGTTCCTAATTTTTGTGCCTGATCATTGGATTGTCTTCAACATGCCCCGTGATCACACATGATCGATACTGAATGAAATTTTCCAGAAGTGATCAAACTAAGAGAACAAGCCAACACAAAACGCACGGAAAAAAAATTGACCTGATATAAACTTAAATGAAAGGGAAGGGATATACCACGACTACGGAATCCCTCCAATATTATGAATCAGGCAACTTTTCCACAAATTCAACCGGCACGACGGGTATAGAGTCCCACCACTCCTTTAATCTCCGATCTACTTTCTCATCTTGCATGTATTTCCCAATCTTTGATGTCGCCACAAAGAGGCACAATGTCAAAGCCATAAGGATAAACTTGAAAGGAACCACCGCTAATATTACAGCCGCACCAACCATTACCACCATTACCAAATATGCATGCTGTAACCACCCATCAAAAATTAGTAAAGGATCCAGGTCATCTGTTATGACAAAGTTTAGGAAAGAATTACAAAAGATGACTCCATTAACATTTTCGTTATATGTTCCTAAACGAATATCAGCTAGAACAGTTGGTACCTTTGGAGCCTTTGAAACCAATATGGACCAGATTTTCAGTAGTATTATGTTCATGCTCTGAACCAAGTCATAGACATTTCTTAGTCCGTGTTGTGCTGACACTATACTTTCTATCGTCGTCTGATCAGATCCAGTGTAGATAACTATTTTATTTGCCTTGTCTATTATCCCTCTTTGCCTTGCCCATATCATTGTAGCAACTGTCCCCAATAAGAGAGCTGATATTGCTTTGCCAACACACTCTCTACATTTGCAAACATCCATTAGTCTTTTCCAGGTTTTCACAGTCCAATTTCTTCAATTAAGATAAATAACGTAGCAAGAATTAAGATACTTACGTGTAAATAACTAGAAGCGCTGTCAGCATAAAAATACCACTGCATAATGGTCTTTCCCATGAAAATACCTCTTGAAGATAAGGCACTAACCTCCCGAACGGTTTGAGAAGACCCTAATTAGTATTGATAAAACAAAGACATTTCGTTAGGCTTTTGAAACAATGCAGCAGCCTAGTGTTAATGCATATTCAGAAAATCTTCAATTAATATAAGGTGATATGGAGTTCTAACAAACAATGGTTCTCAAGCTTCAGTGCTGGTTATGTATACCTGTTTTCTCTCTTTTTCACCTTCCCTAAATTTATAATTCTATAGGAGACATGATATGCATGCAGTTTCTGGAATCAACCAGCAGCACTTACCATAAGAACCTGGACACTGTTCCCCATTCCTTCCCCTTTCAGCTCCTCAACAGTAGCTTTGGCCTTTTCAATTTCCTTTGCTTCCTCTCTTGCTTGATCAATAGCACTCTCCAACGATGAGACGCTTTCATTTTGGACTGGAAGGCGGCTGTTGTCGTCGATTTCTTTTGCCGCTTCACTTGGAACCGGTAAGAGGGAGATATTCAGGCTTCTCAAGATTGAGCTAGCACTACATCTGTGTCCAATGTCAACTTTCTTCAGACTCTCTGCAAGCTCTTCAAGCACATAATCTCCCTTCGGCAACTCATCAAGTAAATCAAAGATCAAGAAATTCTTGGGAATTGGTGGCGAGATCCTAAGCATTTCTCTAGCTGCATGAAGTCTTATAATTCCTAGTATTGTTCTCGCGTGCATCTCCTGTGATCCTGAAGGTGAATCAACCTTAAACTTACGTAAAAACCGATGCAACAATATAACCTCCTTTATTAGAGCAAGCCAGTGGTCTCGCCTTGTTGAGCTTGTCATTTCTGGGAACTCCAGGACAACCGATTCTTCCCTAAATTTTGACAAATACAACACCAAAAGTAAATTCTCATACTGCTATTGACATCATTTTACACAAACATGGTTCTTGAAGCCACATAAACATACACAATTTAGCAAATATACAAGCTCCTAATAAATTGTAAAATACCCCACATTAAATCAGTATATTACAAGCAAAACTCAGCCTTCAAGCAGCAATCCTTGAAATACGTTGAAAATAAATAATGCCAACGTTATCCATACTAACCTGAAGGAAGTGCGGAGTACTTAAAATTTAAGCCTTAAAAAACATGATCTTATAGGATGTAGAGAAAAAACTTACAATTCAGAAGATTCATAAACTATGGCCTTGTCAAAGAGCTGAGCACCCCATGGACCTGTAGCAGCAGGTTTGACACTCTGCTCGAAGTCTTCTGAAAGACTGAGCTTAATAGCATCTTTATAAGAGATGACTCCGGATTCCTCAAAGTAAAGTGCATAGTTTGTTAGTGTCAGCCTACCTACAAATGGTATAACCTTAGGTTACAATCCCAGGAATCATAACAATGCAAAAGCAGAATAAAGGCAAGAGTACCAGGCCAACTTGTCCCTCCAATATGGCGCACTACTCTTTGTGAACTTGCAGTTCCTTCCACATGTAGTATAACCTCGTCATCTGCCATGTCCACACCAGTTGGAGTTGCTTGCTTTTGCAAATGCTTTATGCACCTATTGAAAATCGACAGACACAAGAAATTGCAACAAAAATGATGAGATCTAGAGTTAAGCTTGACTAAAAATGAGCGACAAGGAAATAATTTCAGAAACATGACATATTTCTGCTAGAAGAAATATTCTCCATTTTCGGGTTGCCTTTGTTATAAATTTGCATTTTAAGCAACAGCATCATCACACGACCTCCCTTGCCCCTCCCCAATAAAAGCGAAAAAAGAAGAAAAAAAGAATTCAGGTGGATAACCTAAACTCTCTTGAAACTGACATAAATAACTCTTCTTGATCCTAGCATGTAAGAGCTTTTGGAAATATCTTCTTCACTAGAAATTCCTTCATGACGGTAGAATTCTAAAGTACACTTCTTATCTCAAAATCCATCCTTGGAACCAGCGACATTGTGCCTATTGCGCCCTTTAATTTGTCATTGGTTGTGAGTCCATTTTGGAATTACAGCTTCACCAGAATAATCTACCAACTAATAGAGGGAGAGCAAGGATCTAGGAAAATTACTTTATGATCTCCTTCAAAAATAAGTTATAAGCCGGAAAATGCAATCGATTTTCTGTAGGCGCTGTCAGAGTCTCGAAAGTGAATCTTCCATTAACAACATCAGCTACTAAATGTACAATTGTCGACAGCCACAAGAAAGCATCCTCTCCAGCACTTGGTTTATGGCTAACCTGCGAACCCAATCACTTTCAGTTAGGATAGTAAAATGCAGTGAAAGAAAACTAATGACGTCCAAGCTTCCATCTAAGTATGTTATCATCATAAGTTGAGTGGTAACTCCATTTCAAAAAAAAAAAATAAGTTGAGTGGTAACATTGTACTACTATACACATAAGCAACCAAAGAGAAATATGTAAAGCATCAATTACTTGTTCCAATTTGCTACTGTAAAAAAGCACAGTTCTAACTCAAGGATCCAGATATCTTACAAGGAACGGCAAGATATCTGAGTAGAACAAAGGGATGTCATCTTGTTCCTGAGGCATCACAGAGACCACTTTTTTGTCTTCTTTTTCTTTCGCCAACGACTCCTGTATTATTTAGAAAAGACATGTAAATAAGGTGCAGATAACGTCAAGAAAATAAAGCATACGCCAAACTTCTGACTAGAGTTCCAACTGTAACACTGAAAAAGCTTCTAACTAGCTTGATTTAATATTCTAGTACATAATCAACAAAGCTTTTGATCAGTTAAAAGCATGGCAATTGTTACATTTGATGCAGAATAGCAATAGTAATGTTTCCGTAGGATGGACTTGAGATGCTTCATTTTCAGACCAATTCAAATTTACTCGCTATTTAAAATAATCGTGTGCAGTTGATGTTTTATTTCACCTCGATTTTCCAAAAAGATTCATCACAATCCTAATCTACAGATAATCCAACCTGGAGGAACTATTGGGATGCAAGCTTTTTAATTGAGACAACACAAAATGAAAACAAGAAGTTAGAACCGTTTATTCACGCTCATTTTCAAATTTGACAAATAGTAGGACTTCCGCTACAGCTGACAAGGAATTATCAAAAAATAGAAAGAAAAAAGAACTCTCATTGATTCAAACTAACAAATGATGTGATTAAATTAGGGAGCATTGAACACATGAAGACTGTAAATAAGAGAGAGCTGATGGGTAAAAAAGCTAAGGACATTAACTTTATGTATCTCTTCTTCTTCTGAAGTAGGCATTTCCCATGCCAGCATCATATCAAATGTGAAACGGATAAAAGAACCATCGCTGATCGTCTCTTCTAATTCACTACACATATCAATGAGGATCTTGGAGCAGCAAAACTCCACTAACTTCCTCGAATATCCCTCCATTTCAGGCTCCCACCCAGCCTCAAAGTCATGTACTATTTTATCCACGGAGGCGTCCAACTTCCTGACAGGAAATATCTATTACTAATAACTTGCAGAAAATGCATGCTATGTGAAGTGAGTTTTCACAATTTTGTATGCAGCTGCCTAGAGTTCAAATCAAAGCAGAGTTGATTACATAACCAGAATAATTTGGTGTGGAACAATATGGGGCGGAGCTAGAAGCCCGACTACAGGCTCGGCTCCACCCAGTAGCTTTTGCTCGAACATTATATTTGTGTTATGTAGGGAAATGACACGGAGAAATTACAACATAACTGCAATAATATTATTTGTAAGCAGATACACGAATTGGCTTGAGTCGTGCTGAACACAGTCCTAAAAACCTATTTCAGCAATGTGAAATGGTTCCCCAGGATTAAACAAGCCTATCTCTTAGAGGATACAGGAATCTGCAAAATTAATATACCAGCAAGTTGTTAAAAGAAACAAATAGTATATATTGAAGATAGAAAAAGGTGGAGACACAAAAAGAACATTGGAATGAAAGAAAGAGAGCAAGTAGTAATTCAAACCTAATTATTAGCTTTTCTTGGTGTTTCATCCGTAGAAATTGAAAGCCTATTTATAAGCTCAATAATGGCAATTGCTTGAGACAAGTGCTATGTCTCCTCTGCCACTTGGTACTTGGCTTATGCTACTTACACAAAACCAAAAGAAAGGATTTCACATGCTGGATATTGAAATACACCAAAGATACTTGTGAAATTTCCCACATGCATAGTAGCCACTTAGAAATAGATAACACATTTGTAAAATAAAGGACACTTGGCTATTTGAATTTTTTAAAATACGGCCACATGTTAAGAAAATTATATTACATATGTACAAATATTGAATTTAGAACAAAGTTATTAGCGGTTGAAGTCGTCGTTTTAAAATCCAAAACCCACAAAGTTAAAATCCTCGCTCCGTTGCTCCGTCACTGGAGACAATAAAAGCCAAAAGTTAAGAAACAACAAGGACACCTCTCTTGCTCTCATCTTAATCAAGCACCAGAATTGTATCAATATAACCTTAACTACGGGTGTTCAGATTTCCCACAAGTAGACAATCGAGCTTTGCTTGGTCGTTCAAACAAAAAATCAGCTAAACAGCAAGGCCAGACAAAAATTACAAAGAAAAAGCAACCAAACAGGACAACCTAAAAGGAAACAAACAGTTTTAAACCAAGTTTTACAGAGGAAAAAATTCCCAAATATTCAAGTCTCTGGCAGTTTATACGTTGAAAAAGCCGCTAACAAGCAAAATAAGTGTTCATATATTTCAATTGAATTTGTTGAATCTGCAAGAGGAAGGACTAAACTAGCTAATTCTTCAAAAAATTGAAGATTAAATGAGTTGAGCATGATATTCGGTAGTGCAATTTGCTCAATTGACAGAGTTTCATTTGTTTTCTTTCACATTATATTGGCAGTGAATAAGACTTCTCTAGTTCGAGATGGTTGTTAAACCTTGTCATCAAATTCTAGAATTTCCGCTGAGGGTTCCAAAAAAAAAAACAGTTAAAAAAGATTATAGCTAGGGGTAATTGAACCAATGATCTTACAAAGGTTTCGAACCCGGCCACTAAGTTATGCTTTAGACTGGATCAAGATGATTTAAAATATAATATATAAGGTTAAAAATCAGATTTTATCTTATATATACGGTATAATTTTTGGGCGAATAAACCCCTTCCGTCACCTAAATCCGCCCCTGATATCAGGAACACCTCATATTCAACAGTATTAACTGAGAGAGAGAACACTAACTGGGCACATCTAAAAATGACGTCGGTGGCAATAGAGGAAAGATACTTCATTTCCATAGGCAGCTTCTTAATTCAGTCCGATTGCTAATTGAGCTTAGAGACTTTTTTTTCTTTCCGTTAGAAATGGATTCGCCGTTACAGCCTAGTATTTCAAAACAAAAGGAGGAGGAAAAGAAAAAAAGACAAACAAAAAAAGGATAAGAGGAAGGGGAGCGTACGACACGTGTCCAACATGCAGTGAACAAACCGTTCTTCAGTCTTCTACTCATCACGTTTAAACCGGCAGTCTCGTTTGCTTCAACCATAGTTCAGAGTTGTCTTTTATTATCTTTCTGTTATCAATAGAATTTTATTTAGAGTAAATGTCTAGAGAGAGTTTTACTTTGTGATTAAGTTATTTTTTTTCTATAAATAGAGGGGTCTTACTTCATTGTAATTCATCCCAAAATTCAATAAGAATTCCCTCTCTCTCTTTCTCTGCAATATTGTTCTTTTACTTTTATTGTTTCATAACACGTTATCAGCACGAGACTCTAACCAATTGAGTAGAAACTTTGGGATTGTGCATAATGATTGTCAATTATTCCATAAATTTTCTTAATGATTAAATTCTGGATTTAAGGTAAGTATTTTACCGTATTTTTCTCTTTTATTCTATACTTTGATTTTAAATACAAGCAAAGACAACAAAAGTTTGATTATAACTCTAATGGAGTTTGCAAGAAATTATAACCACCTGAAGTGGTAAAATTTCTATGCCTCGCCATGATCAAATTCATGTATGATTGTGGGCAAATAATTGAAAACCCGTCCCATTGAATTTGCTCCATTCTCATTCCCTTTAGAGAATATGATAGCAGTATGTGATAAGTCTGAAAGAAGACAAAATTATTACTATGAAGGTATCAATGGATGTGGACGTGGCAATAGACGAAATTATAATCGTCATCATTGTGATACTGAGAATAATAAGGATTCTTAAAATAATCCTTCACTATGTGAAAGTAATATTTGTCATCAATTTGACATGAGACTTTATAAAGCACATATAGATGATTATGGTCCATTCATGATGTGAATGTGACTACATCTGATTTATGAATATATATTCATTCTTGGAAGAATATAAACGTACTAGTGGTAGTGAATATACCACACTCACCTCTAGAAGGAGGTTTGAGATGATATAAGAAAATAATGTCATTATTATGGCATGAATGGTCATTGGTAACGTACCTATTGTACGCCAAAATATTTTGGTAATGTGATTATTAAAGATAATATTAATGCAAGAAACATATCTTGCATATAATTTTGACCATAACCATGATGGTATAACTTTCTCTTTAAAAGAGATATTCACCATATGGATGTTGATGAATATGTGGTAGTACCAAATTAATTGAGAGCTCTAGAAGAGCCAATTATTACTATTTTGGAGAAACACAATTGATTACCAATAAGGTATTGTGTTGCAGTAAGTCTCAAAGAAACTTATTAAGTTTTCAAAATATACACGAAAACGGTTGATTATATTGAGACTATAAATAAATGAAAGAATTAATATCTTCTATTACTACAACTTGTAGCTGGGTAATATGTATGTGAAAAGCTACCCGCTTTATTCTCCAGTTTGTACTACACAAATAAAAGAATACCACAATAAAGTGGATGTCATTGATATAAAAATCCATATCATAATAAACTTGGAGTTTATTGATAATTGCACACGTCATGGTGTAAATCTGAAGTTTATCAATATTGATAATTTATTCAGTTGGCATAATTGGTTTACCCATATCAATTTAAGTATGATATGCAAAAAATAAAAGAGAATTCACATGGGTAAATATTAAATAACTAGAAAGTTCTTTACGAATTCTCTTATATTGCTTGTTCTCATTAATTAATAGATCAACTAAAATTGGGATTAATTCCCATGAATGCTGGAAATATCAAAGGTGAATATGGGCCCATTCACCTACCATGTATACCACATAAGATGCATCTATGAGATGGTTACATGTGTGATTATCAATAACCCGCAACATGATGTTTGCGAGGTAACTTGCTCAATAATTTAATTTCGAGCATAATTTCCAGATTTTCTATTCAAGAAGTTCATCTTGATAAGTTGGTTTACATTACAGTTGGTTTAGCAAAATGATTTATTGAGTGCCTCCACTTAATAGCTAAACTATTGCTTATGAGAACAAAGTTATCTATATCAGTTTGATATAGGTTATATACAAAAGTATATTATATTCTCCCCTCACAAGTGGTTTAGGGTCAGGAACCAAATAATTCTATCTTATTATTATTGATGTGCGGTGTATCTTTTGATTAACACCATAACGCACAAAGATGAGTTCTCAAAGTTGAGGAAACAAGTTAGTTTTTCTAACATGAGGAGGAGACATGATAAACAATTGAGAAAAAGTTACGTGGAATGAATTATCATTTGTACATGTAGATCCTCGAATAAGATAATATGAACTTGAAGTTCATAAAAGGATAATTCATGTGCAATTTATTGCAAAACATGCCAGACGCATTTGCTGACCCAAAGAAAGTAACTATATTCTCATTGCAAATGCTCCTATTAGAATAAGTCCTAGAAGGACAAAGTCTATAGTACGCTTAAAGCATATAGACAAATCGGTTTCAAATAAACTTCTTAATATAGAAGATGAGCAAATGATCAAAATGATCATAATAAGGAGGCAAGTGATCTAGAAGATCACATGACATAACACTTCATAAAATCTCAAGAGAGATTCAGGTACCTGAAAATATGAATGAAGAGATCTCTATGTTATGTCTTTATGAAAAATAAGGAGGTTGAAACCGATATAAAATGTTCGCCGACAACATCTATGATAGCGCTAAATATCTATATATATGTATGAGGATCTTAAGTCTAAAGAAACAATTCGAATAGAATTGGTTTCATATGAAAGACATAAAGTCAATGGTATGTGCAATCAATTGTCGATATCTTATATGTCTGGCATGCCATGAAAACTTGATGCAAATCCAAAGTCTATTTATATGGCTTATTTGACTATACTTATATGACAATCCCCAAATGATTTAAATTGCTTGAAGCATATACAATCTTGATCTTGAAGTACCACATCCTCAATGCAATTTATGCACAAATGTATCTTGCTATAACTATAAGCATGATAATGTGATAGCGAGAATACCTCCATAGAGATATTGAAGAGCTATTCTACGATATTTATGAAGACATTATATCTCTATCAAGAATGATGATTTCAAGGTGCAATATATTCATTCAAGTTAATATGGCTCAAATCTCTACCAAAGATATTTTGAAGATGGTGCACAAGATTGGAATGCAAATGCTTAAGGATGTGAATTGATGCTCTCATCAGGGGGAGTTAATGCGCGTTGTACTCTTTTTCCCTTACAAGATTTTGTCCCACTGGGTTTTCATTGCAAGGTTTTTAACGAGGCAACCAAAAGGCGTATTATTAGATATGTGTACTCTTTTTCCTTTTCTAGAATTTTTTTCCCACTGGGTTTTGTTTTAGTTAAGGTTTTAATGAGGCACATTACTTATCGAGTAGACATTCAAGGGGGAGTGTTATGAATAGAATTCTATTTGGAGTGAATGTCTATCTTGTAGAGAGTTTTACTTTGTGACTAAGTCATTTTTCCCCTATAAATAGAGGGGTCTTACCCCATTGTAATTCATCCCAAAATTCAATAAGAATTCCCCCTCTCTCTTTCTCTGCAATATTGTTCTTTCTATTTTTATTGTTTCATAACACTTTCCTTTTTTAATTCATACAAAGATTTTTAATATACTGAATAGCAGCCAATTAGCTTATACTCTTAAGAAAAAAGGATAAGCATAATTTTTAAGTTCTCTTGTCAAGTAATAGCCAATTAGATTTGCTTGCCGCTTAATTTTTAAATAAGAGAAATATCAGGATATGTTTTTGATAAAAAACGGCAATTCTCTAAAAGCACTCGTAAAATTTCACTCTAGGAGTTACAAGATTGTATAATATTTAGGACATTACATTTAATAAATCTATAATTTCAGCATATTTAGCTTTGACCAGGGGCGGATTTACATTGAGTGAAATGGTGTCACGGGACACCACTTCGTCAAAAAAATTAACTAAATAGAGATGTCAAAATGATATCGTAACATTTAAAATTGAATAAAATAATATGGGTGATACTACTAGACAAAGATGCCTCTTTAGTCTAGCGGTTTGATCATGAGATGAAACTTTGTATCATGAAGGTCGCGAGTTTGATCCACCGTATTTATTTTTTTCTTTCAGCAAATCAATTTAAAAATGACTGGACTGGTCATCTCTCTTCAATATACTATCCTAGCCCGAAAATAAATATATCTTGCTAAGTTCATCTTTACTTATTTGTGATAAAGGTAGCTTTTGTTTTTAGCCTTTTTCCTGTAATATTTTTTTCACTTATAGCGGCAATAAAATTTGGGAGTTTTTTTTTTCAAATTTTATTTTTAATATCTGTTTTTTATAGATTTTAATCATTTTTTGACAAACTTTGAAAACAAAATTTTCAACTCCCAAAAACAGCTATAGAGTAGTTTTTAAAGTTTTCTATCATAAAACTTTAAATTGTTTTCATGTAAAATGCATGTCCAGACAAAATTTTAACTTTCAAAAATCATTTTTCATCTCATCTTCAAAAAATTATTTTTACAAGTTTCATCCAAATTTATGTGCAAATGCTAGCTTAGTGTCTTTCTTTTTTGAACAATGACAATTACATCAATGCATTTGAATTGCTTTTTATTTGTACAATATTATGATGACTTATTTACGTGTTGATTTATTTAAATATGACACCGCTTGCGAAAAATTCTGCGTACGCCACTGGCCTTGACACAACCTCGAAAAACTGAAGAAGCTGCATCTACAAACTAACTTGATGAATGACGCACAACCTAAAGTAAGGACCAATTGCATTTGTATTGCATTTCTAGATCAAGAAGAGCACACAACACGAGTGGAAGCGCTCACAAATCTTCTAACTGCTTTTCAGTCATGATAATCTACCATTTACTTAAAAAATTTAGAGCTTTGAATAGCACATAAGTAAAAGAAAGTACTTTATTATTCCACACAAACTTTTTTTTCATGGCTCGAATTTTTCGAAGAACTGCACAAGTTTGTCGAGCCTTCCAGTTTGATATAATGATAGTGGACTAATAAGAAATGATATTAATTTTGTATTTGATTGAAAATTTTATTTCGGCATACGGAATTTTGAATTATTTATATCATAATTTTGGTACCTATTATTTTTATATCATATAACAATTCAAAATTAGCTATACTCTTAACAAAAAAGGATTAGCATAATTTTTAAACTCTCTTGTCAAGCAATAGCCAATTAAATTTGATTGCTGCTTAATTTAAATAAGAGAAATATAAGGATTTATTTTAACAAGAAACGGCAATCCTCTAAAAGCTAGCATTCAAAATTCTGTAAAATTTTCACTTTAGGAGTTACAAGGTTGCACAATATTTAGGACATCACATTTTACTAGACAATCAGGCGATTAGAGCAAAAAATAAATCCATAATTTCAACATGTCTAGCCTTAACACAACCTCGAAAAACTGAAGAAGTTGCACCTACAAACTAACTTGCTGAATGATGCACAACCTAAAGTAAGGAAGATAACTGCATTTGTATTGCATTTCCAGATCTAGGTGGAGGCTTAGATCAAGAAGAGCTCACACCCCGAGTGGAAGCACTCACAAACCTCCGAACTGCTTTTTAATCATGATAATCTACCATTTACTTAAAAAATTTAGAGCTTCAGATAGCACATAAGTAAAAGAAACTACTTTATTATTCCACACACAAAAAAAATTCATGGCTGGAAATTTTCGAAGAACTGAACAAGTTTGTCCAGTCTCCCAGTTTGATATAAGTATAATGGACTAAAGATAATAATTTTGGAATAAAATATGATATTACTTTTTTGTATTTGATTGAAAATTTTGTTTCGGCATAAGTAATTTTGAATTAATTTATATCATAATTTTGGTACATATTATTTTTATATCATACAACAATTCAAAATTAGTTATTCCTAAATTAAAACAATCAAACAACAAAGATGCGATTTTTTAAACTTCTTTTCCTAAAATCTTTTAAAAAGGTCAAGATTTGTTTTTAATTAAATAACTATTTTAGTAATTTTTTATCACAACAACAACCACCTAGTGGAATCCCACAGGTGGGATCTGGGAGAATAATGTATGCAGACCTTATCCCTGCCCTAGGGAGGTAGAGAGGTTGTTTCCGAAAGACCTTCAGCTTGAGAGGAAGAATAGAAATAGGTAAATATCAACAACAAGCCAGGAAAATGAAACCAACAATGTATGAACCTGAAAAACGATAATTTTTTAGAAAACCGAAATGGAAGATAGTACTAAAACCACCATACTAGCAAGCTAGCGCAAAAAACCCGAAATAGTTCAAAAAAAATATACTACGACCTATTACGCTTCCACCCTAATCTTCCACCTCCATACCTTCCTATCAAGGGCCATGTCCTGATCACCTTTCCCCAATACTTCTTAGGCCGCCATCTACCTCTTCTCCTACCTGCCAGCACCAACCATTCACACCTCCTCACTGGGGCATCTAGGTTTCTCCGTCTCACATGCCTGAAGCATCTAAGCCTCTCTTATCCTCCATAGGGGCCATGCCCATTTTCTTCCAAATCTCTGCATTCCTAATCTTATCCAACCTAGTGTTCCTGCACATCCATTGCAACATTCTTATTTCTTCTACGTTCATCTTCTCAATATGGGAGTTCTTGACTGGCCAACATTCAGCCCAATACAACGTTGTCAGTCTAACCACCGCCTTGTAGAACTGACCTTTAAGTTTAGGTGACACATTCTTATCACACAGGACGCCAAATGCTAACCTCCATTTCATCCACCCCGCCCTTATATGGTGTGTGACATCCTCGTCAATCTCTCCATTCCCTTGGATAACTAACCCAAGATACCTGAAACTTTCTCTCTTAGGGATGACTTGTGAATCAAGCATCACGTCTATATTTTCTCCCCTCGTCTCGTCGCTGAACTTGCACTCTAAGTACTCTGTCGTAGTCATGCTCAACTTGAAACTTTTAGACTCCAAGGTCTGTCTCCAAAGCTCCAATTTCTCACTGACACTGCCTCGTGTCTCATCAATCAATATTATATCATCAGTAAATAACATACACTATGGAACCTCCCCTTGAATATATGACGCGTCAGTGCATTCATTGCCAATGCAAATAAGAATAGGTTAAGCGCATATCTTTGGTGTAACCTCATCCAATTCACAAAATATATATATATATATATATATATATATATATATATATATATATAATATGTTATTATTCAGATTGATAAATTGTTAAAAAGATTATCTATATAGAATTGTGTTATCCAACTTAATTAAATATTGAGATCGCTTGCTTATCCAAATGTTATTATTTGATTTCAGGTTTGCTAGAGATCATTTAAGCATCATTTTTGCTAATATTTTGATGAGAAATGAGAATAGGTTGTACTATATCTTGGATCATAATTAGCAAGAGTGTTGGAGGGTGGGGAGTGGTAAGAATTGTGATCTAGTCCTTCTTCGGATCCTCCCATAGTAGGAGCTAAATTAGTGCACCGGAATGTCCTTCATACTGATCATTTGTGACCACTATTACCCTTACTTAAATTAAGTTAATTACAATGAAGTTTCAAATACAAATTTTCTACAAGGGATGATTGGTGATAAAGAAGTTGGGATGGCAAGGGAAGGGATAAAGAGACTATAGATTAGAGGGGCTTATCGGACGGGTCGGGCGGATATTTACGTTTAAAAGTTCGGCTTATAGATTATTAATTTTTAAATATAGTAATCCGCTAGCAAATCAATAAGATATCGGGCAAATTGGTAATCGATTAGCGATTATCAGGCGGTTTATCGGCTAAATCAAATAGACAATATTAAAAAAGAAATAGAGTACTAGAGATAAGGGAAAATTTGATCCAAGATTTATTTATATAATATTTCATCCGATCGATTTGATCTAATGCCAACTATTATACTCTTGATATTTCAACTATTATGTAACTGTATGTTACTGATGACCATTGTAGAAGAAAATTTTAATGATCACACATGCTCCCTATAATGATCCGACCAGTCGTTTTGAGTATTTGCATCTCTGTTCAATGGTTTGAGATCGTGAGTAGCTTCATATGATGTAGTATGACTTGCTTGTATAGTCGGTTTTGTTTTCGAGTTATTTGGAATTGATTTGGAAGAATAATTCTCATTTAGAAGCTTTAAGTTGAAAGAGATGACCAAGTTTGACTTTTACTTATTTGATACCGGATCGGTGTTTTGATAGCTCCGTTAGATCCGGATGGTGATTTTGAACTTGGGCGTATTCCCGAATTTACATTTGGATATTTCTAGAAGGTTTTGATTGAAATTGGCGAAAATTGGCAATTTGAAGATGTAGAAAGTTCATAGGTTTGACCGGGAGTTGACTTCTAGGTTATTGGATTCAGATTGTTGTTCCGGGAGTTAGAATAGGTTCGTTTTTACATTTGAAATTTGTGTGCAATGTTTGGTTCCATTCCGAGTTGATTTGGTAGGATTAGGGCGCGTTCGGCAAAGTTTGAAGGTTTGAAAGTTAAGAGAATGATCTTGATCTTCGATTCTTGATTTTGATGTTATTTTTGATGTTTTTAGCTTTTGGAAAGTTTGGATTAGGTATATGGACTTGTTGGCATGATTGGAGGGGGTCCTGAGGGGTTAGGGTAAGTTTTGGGGTGGTTCCTGACCATTTTTAGCTACAGGGATGTTGCGATCGCGAAGAGTAAAATGCAATATTGAACCTGTGATTCGCATTCGCGGAGGGAAGGCTCGCGTTGTCACGATCCCAGTTTACCCACCGTGAACATGTCGTGATGGTGCCTGGTCTCTACAACTAGGTAAGCCTAAAATGCGGAAAAACAAAATAACTTTCGAAAAATAATAATTCAACTTGAACAGTTAAAATAAAATACGGTGTATAGATGCCACTTGGCATATACAATCCCATAACACGGAAGTCTACAATATCATCCAAAACCCGAAAACTCACGGGAACACAAGCTAATAGAATGAGTACACTGCTCTAACTCCAGAATGTCTAAAACAACAGTAAGAAAGGAAAGATATCTGCTAAAGCTAGAATAAGATAGAGACTCCTTGGTCTGCGGACGCGGCAGATGTACCTCGAAGTCTCTGCTAGATCTCTCCGCCTCGAGGGTGATACGCCTGGGTAGAGGTACCTGGATCTGCACATGAAAAACATGCGCAGAAGGGGCATGAGTACACCACAACGGTACTCAGTAAGTGCCAAGCCTAACCTCGGTCGGGTAGTGACGAGGAAGGTCAGGGCCCTACTGAGGTTAATCATAATAATAAGTTTTGCAACAGTATAAAATAAGCAGTAATAATGAGTACGGCTATGAAGTAAGACAGGTTATACAAAGCAACAAATAACACACAGAGAATAAGGTAACACGGAGTAAACAGCTCAATACCAGTACCAACAACGAGGATCTCCCAGGATACCGTCCTGTAGTCCATCCCATCAACTGTCCAAGGATCTCCCGGGATACCGTTCCGTAGTCCATCATATGTGTATATCTGAAGGATCTCCCGGGATACCGTCCCGTAGTCCAACTATCAATGTGCAGAGGGATCTATCGGGATTCGAACCCGCAGTCCCAAAGTAAATATGCAGGGGGATCTACCGGGAATCTAACCCGTAGTCCCAAAGTAAACAAACAAGGGGGGGGGGGGGAGCTATCGGAATCCCACATCCGTAGTCCCAATGTAAATACGCAGCCACAACAAGAAGATATTCAGCAATGAAGTTCAAAGAAATACAAGGCAACAGATAGTTCTAGCCTAACATGCTTCACGTAGTACAAACAAAGCAGCTTAAGCAAGTAGGCAATTTAGATCAGCTAAGCATGCTTTTCTAAACTAACACAGGCTATAATTGCAAATAGAATAAAGCAGGTAAGAAAGAAACTCAATCTAAATATTTTAGTAAAACCGGATTTTCAACAATTAGCTCAAGTACGCGCTCGTCACCTCACGTACAGGGCATTCAATTACCAAATATCATATCCTAAGGGGAAAGGTCCCCCACACAAGGTTAGACAAGCCACTTACCTCGAACCGGCTCCAAAATCAACTCGAAACCACACTTTTGCCACGAGTATCCGACTCCAAATGGCCTAAATCTATTCAATTTAATTACATATCGTAAATAACATCTCAAGCAATTGATTCTACGATTTAATTCAAAGCTAAGATGCGAAATTAGGTAAAATGACCAAAACGCCCCTCAGGCCAACGTCTCGGATTCGGATGAAATTAACGTTTTCAGAACCCTCGTACTCTCACGAGTCTAACCATATAAAAATCTCTCAAATCGGAGGTCAAAAACCCACTCAAATCTCAATAATTAGGTCTATGAAGTTTTTACCCATTTTCCATTCAAAATCCGAAATTAGATGATGAAATTAACTAAAGATTGATGAAATATAACTAGAAAGGGTTAAAGAATCGTTACCCAATGATCTCCTCTTCAAATCCCTCTCAAAATCGCCCTCTCCCGAGCTCCAATTCAATTTTTCTAACTTTTAAACTAAACCCTCGAGCTCACTATTTCTGGCCAGTGAATTTCGCATATGCGGTCAAGGGACCGCACCGCGGTCCCGCTTCTGCGGAACAGTTGCCGCATCTGCGACTTTATTAAAAGGGCCAGAAGCCGCATCTGCGGTCCTTCTTCCGCAGATGCGGAACCGCTTCTGCGGTTATACTTCCGCATCTGCGAAACCTGGAAGCCACCCAAAAAATCGCATCTGCGGTACACCAAGCCGCATTTGCGGCGTCGCATCTGCGGTCCCCGAACCGCAGATGCGAAAATATCAGAAGCAGCAAAAGCTGCAATCCCTCAACTTCAAAAATCTTTCCGTTAACCATCCGAAATCGTCCCGAGGCCCCCGGGACCTCAACCAAAAGCACCAATAACACCTAATACCTTATTCAAACTTGTACCAATCCCTAAAGCACCTAAAACAACGCCGGAAACTCAAATTAATCAATGATTCAAGCCTAAGAACTTCAAATTCTCACAAAACACGCTTTCGATCAAAAACCTAACCAAAACACGTCCGAATGACTTGAAATTTTGCACACACATCCCAAATGACATAACGGAGCTACTGCAACTTCCGGAATTCCATTCCGAACCTCGGATCAAAATCTCACTATCGGACCGGAAACTTCAAAAATTCAAACTTCGGCATTTCAAGCCTAAATTAGCTACGGACCTCCGAAACACATTCCGAACACGCTCCCAACCCCGAAATCACCTAACGAAGCTAACGGAACTATCGGATTTCCGTTCCAAGGCCGTCTTCGCACTGTGCCGACTACGGGCAACTTTCCAACACTTAAGCTCTCATTTAGGGACTAAGTGTCCCAAAACTCTCCGGAACTCAAAACCGAAAATCCCGGCAATTCAAATTAGCATAAATAGACTTGGGGAAAGCAGTTAATAGGGGATCGGGGCGTTAATTCTTAAGACGACCGGCCGGGTCGTCACATCCTCCTACACTTAAACATTCGTTCGTCCTCGAACGAGCATAATGACATACCTGAAGTAGTGAAAAGATGAGGGTACTGGCTGCGCATATCCTGCTCGGTCTCCCAGGTCGCCTCCTCGACCGGCTGACCCCGCCACTGAACCTTCACGGACGCAATGTTCTTAGACCTCAGCTTCCTGACCTGCCTGTCCAATATTGTCATTGGCTCCTCAACATAGGATAGATCCTTTTCCAACTGGACTGATCTGAAATCCAACACGTGCGATGGATCACCGTGATACCTCCGGAGCATCGAAACATGAAATACCGGATGAACCCCTGCCAGGCTGGGAGGTAAGGCAAGCTCATAGGCAACCTCCCCAACTCGCCTCAATATCTCAAAAGGGCCAATAAACCTCGGACTCAACTTCCCTTTCTTCCCAAATCTCATAACGCCTTTCATAGGCGAGACCCGAAGCAGAACCCACTCTCCGAACATGTAGGAAACATCACGAACCTTCCGATCTGCGTAACTCTTCTGTCTGGACTGGGCTGTACGGAGTCTATCCTGAATCA